CATATTTAAACAAACCAGTCACTTTTAAGGGATTAAATTTTATGGCTCTGTAAGTGCCAGAACATTCTACCCCCCCTTCATTACCAGGCCATTTTTCAGTTTTCAGCACTGCAATACTTTGGCTGAAAATTGCTCAGAAATGCAATACAGTACCCCAAAAAAGTTTTTTTTTTTTAGACAGAAAACTTTATTTTGTGTGGTATTTACACTTTTACTATATAAAGGAAAAAAGACCAAACATTTTTAAACAAAAAATAAGGCAAAGTGGGTTTTTTTCAAAGTAGCAAATAAAAATGCCAAAAAAGTAGAAAGTAGATACCCCAAGGTGATCTGATTTTTTGGCAGGTTGTATTTGTAAATGAAGAAACATACTGGTATTAAGGGGGTTAATACTTGAAAAATAGTTTTGGATAGAGCAGAGAGTAGTTAGAACCCCTGTTATTTAGTGTGTTCTGGTGTGGGGATTTCCCTGCACTTTTTTGTTCTGGAAATACAACAGAAAATGAGCGTAAATCAGTAAATGACAATCATAAGATTTTGGATTAATCCCTTTCTGTTAAAGACAAATAGACAGAATGAGTCCCAGCAGGGACAAAGACAGCAATATTTTTTTTGATTACAACCAAATTATCTGTGTCTATTAATCATTCTTTACTAATTATCACAGTAAGGAAAAAGCAAATACATTTTGGCGTTCTAAGGAGACCCCCTTCATCGGGGCTTATGAAATGCTGTAATGATTGTACTCTAGGTGTTTATTATTGGTAATCCACTGGTAAATCAAATGGTGTTGCTCTAGAGACTGTATGATAAATGCAATTTACTCCTGACACCTTTAAATAATAACTTCTAACTCTTCTCTAACACTTTATGGGATAAAACCTAATCTCAGACATGTTTTCTTCAGTGTTGGTTGAATAGGGAACATTCCAAATTCAATTTCTTCTAGGGTTTAATGTCTGCATGTAATGAGAGATTTTACCTCCCTTCCTATCCCTTCAGGGAGCAATTGCCATTGGTAAAGAAATACACAGACAGCAGTGACAGCATTGTCAAAAGTTCTCTTTGGCACTCCACCAGTCAAACACAGTTTCAACCCTATCTAGAGATGGGGAAGGTACAGTTATTTACCAGCCTAAAAAGTAGCTAGCATATTTCAAACATTAGCTGAACACTGGTTTCCAGTAAACATTCTCTTAATAAACGAGAAAGAAAAATCAGCCAGTGAATGCATAAAAATATTTGAAATAAAAAAAACTATTTTATTTTCTTTACAGTTCTGAGTGCATTTGAATACATACTAAAAACAATTTCAGTTTGTTGTATTGTAGACTGTTATAGAGCTAGGAATATTTATTTCACTGCCAGGTCCGTACGGTGTACAGACCTATAGCACTGCTTCCAGCGTGCCATACAGACTGGATTCCTCCTTCTGCTATAAGCTCATTGTCACTTCAGTCACCATGAGTTTATAGTCAAACTGTTCAGCAAAGACTTTCTGAACAAACTGATAGCTCTTATTAGTGGTTAATAAGCCACTGATCAGAGCTATTTACCTAAAATATGACACACACACACCCATCCCCGCCACTGATTCTCTGCCCCGTATCTCCTGCCCCTCCACCCACCTATGCTGACATCTAAAATGCCCCCTCTGCTTACTCTAATACTTCCTCCTTCTGCCACTGCACCCCGCTGAACTAATCTTCCCCCTGGCACCGATTCCCCACCCCCTTGCAAACTCAGTCCCCTTGTGGTTACCCTGCAGCTGTCGGCTTCCCTCCCCTGCTCTCCCAGCAGCTTTGGGAGCTACAGGGCAACCAGAGAGGGATCTGTTTGGCCAAAAAGATGCCCCCTGCTGCTGGCCAGCTTTCCTTCCTCCCCCTCCCACTGGCTGCAGCTGCTAGTGTGGGAGGTCGCTGTTATTTTAGAGAGCAGCGGGCTGGTAAACATGCGTTTTACCAGTCCCCTTCCTTTCCTGAAGGAATACAATCAGCAATTGGTACCAATCGCTTCTGTATTCAATAATCACTGACACATGGTAAACTGTGTTTACTATGTACCAGTTTGTGAATGAAACATAGTAAACACTGTGTACTATGTTTCATTTTATGAATGAATAGGAGTATCTATACAGACTCCTATTCATTCATCTACAGTGCAGCTCAGGCTGCAGCTGCTTTCTTGCTCTCCCTCGTACCTCTTCCGATGGCTGCAGCTGCTGCTAGTGCAGGAGATCGCTGTTATTATGGAGAGTGGGGGAACTGGTAAACATGTTTTTTTACCAGCCCTCTTCCTTTCCTGAAGGAATACAGTCAATGATCGGTATTGATTGCTTCTGTATTCATTAATCACCAACACACAGTACACTGTGTTTACTATGTTCCAGTTTGTGAATGAAACATAGTAAACACCGTGTACTGTGTTTCATTTTATGAATGAATAGGAGTCTGTATAAAGACTCCTATTCATTCATCTACAGTGCAGCTCAGTCTGCAGAAAAAGGGATTGTCTTCAGTCCCTTTCTCTGTGTTAAAAAAGAGGTCTATTAGACTCCTGATGTCTCCCATCTACTGACTACTGACAGGTACTGAGGAAACGATATGATGCTTCCTCACCACCTGTTTTAACTTTGCTGAAAAAAGCTCCGCAACCGCATGCATTGCACAAGGTTGTGAGGCATTTGTGGCACTTCAACATTGACTTGTGTTCAACTTTGCAGTGGGTGCAAAACATCATGGCCAAAGCACCCTGCCCACTGCCTATTGCAGCTTAAGGAGGGGAGGGTGGCAGGTGGCAGAAAATCAGCACCCCTCAATCGCAGGTCTAAACAAGGCCTAAAGCCTCATTCATGCTGGGCATACTACAGCAAGGCCATGTTTAGTTGCACTGGGATGCACAGGTGTTCCGTGCATCCTCATGCAGGCAGTTCCATTGATGTAATTTGGGAAACACAGCAGCTGCACGAGAATGCACAGATGTTCCATGCATTCCTGTGCAGGCAGTCCCATCCTTATTAACTGGAATGCAGCAGCCGCATGGACACAGCTACTGCTCCCAATTTGACATCCATGTGGGTGTATGTCCCTAAACTCACACTGTCTGCAGTTGGGGCCATGCACCTACGAGCAAAGTAGATAAAACAAGGAGCGACCTAAGATCAATGTATTTAAAAATCAATCCCCAACTCACCAATGACAAATGACAATGAGGTGGTGTACAAGGAACTGTGTTAATCTGAACACAAACATTGATATTGGAGCTCATAGGGAGTTCACCATTAAAGGAGGCCCAAACTGAACAGCAGCGGTATATGAATAAAAAAAAATGTTTATTAATCACAAAAGTACATACTTTTCCAAAACCTACCTTCAAACACCAGTTAAAATACAGGTAACAATGTTGTCCAGTGTAAATCAGAAACCATAGCCTGGGCTCTCAGGCACGCAACACCATGCATACTAATGCCTCTTGGATTTAATAGAGGAAGAAGCATGGCAAACAAAGTAGGAAGGGAAAAGACCAGCAATAGCCACTCCAAAGAAGTAAATTGTGTGTAGTGAATTCATAAGCACTGAGGACTCATAATGTAAAGGCTAGGTCTGGCTCATCCAATAGTCCACCCTCTATGTGTGAATATCAATCTTCACACTATATTGTATGTTTGTTACTCACAGCACCCAGTATCTTATAATAGATGAGTGGATGTTGTCAACGGAATTCATCTTTACATTCAGGATATAAATTGGCCAGACTGCTCTCTGAGTAACTCAGACTGATGTGAAAATGGAATGCCTTGGGGCTATGCTGTTAATCCCGGAGATTCAGCTTACATGTCAGGTTAATCAGCATGTGCAGCGTTCAGTAGCAAGGCAAAAGCAGGGGCATCATGTCAGCGATAGAGAGCAGGAGGTAGCAAGCACATGTACTGTAATTGGTTGCTTGTTAACAGCAGTTCAAAGGGGGAAGAGAGCCCATACATCCAAAAGGGCAGTTTCAATACATGCCCATTCATCCACAGGGGCAGTCTCAGTGCAGGCTCAGTCACTTACCCCCACACCAGCATATGCTGAATGCCATAAATCATTTGATGATGCTCACCATACATCACTCCAGTAGGCGCTGGTCCCGTTAGGTCTCCGATACAAAGTGATCCTATACTGGTCTCCTTGCCACTCAATGTCGGTGGTTCACGCTATAGAGCCGAGGTTATAAGCATGGAGTGGCAGTGTTGACTGCCGCGTGGTGACTTAAAGGTGGCACGTACATTCCTGTGCAGGCAGTCCCATCCACATCAACTGGGACGCAGCAGCTGTATGGACACAGCCACTGCTCCTAACTTGACATCCATGTGGGAGTATGTCCCTAAACTCACACTGTCTGTGTTTGAGGCTATGCACCTACAACTGCATTGATGTCAGATCTGTCCATGCAGCTGCTGCGTCCCTAATGACATGCACAGGGATGCACAGAACAATCGTGCATCCTTGTGCGGTAAACATGGCCCCCCATGGGCATATGAGGCCTTAGTAGGAATTTATCAGGAATTATGTAAGTTATGTTGTGTTTATATGTGCAAATAAGGATTTTATTGTTTTTTTGTTCGTGAAAATAGCGATTTGATAAACATTCACACAACTATTGTGGAGCCTAAAAAAATAAGTAGCACCTTCAGTTTATTTTATAGGTCATGTGCTTTCAGAAAATACACTATATTGCCAAAAGTATTGGGACACCCCTCTAAATCATTGCATTCAAGTGTTCCAATCAACTCCATGGCCACAAGTGTAGAAAATCAAGCACCTAGGCATGCAGACTGCTTCTACAAACATTTGTGAAAGAATGGGTTGCTCTCAGGAGCTCAGTGAATTAAAGCATAGTACTGTGATAGGTTGCCACCTGTGCAATAAGTCCATCTGTGAAATTTCCATGTAAAATGGCAAAGTGGGGTCAGCGCATGCTGAAGCACACAGTGTGCAGAAGTCGCCAACTGCCTACAGAGTCAATAGCTAATGACCTCCAAAATTCATGTGACCTTCAGATTAGTTAAACAACAGTGCCTAGAGAGCTTCATGGAATGGCTTTCCATGGCCGAGCAGCTGCATCCAAGCCTTACATCACCAAGTGCAATGCAAAGTGTTGGATGCAGTGTTGTAAAGCATGCTGCCACTGGACACTAGAACAGCGGAGATGTGTTCTCTGGAGTGACAAATCATGCTTCTCTGTCTTGCAATCCGATAGACAAAGAACGGTACTTGCCTGACTGCATTGTGCCAAGTGTAAAGTTTAGTGGAGGGGGGATTGTGGTGTGGGGTTGTTTTTCAGGGGTTGGGCATGGTCCCTTAGTTCCAGTGAAGGGAACTCTTAAGGCATCAGCATACCAAGACATTTTGGACAATATCATACTCCCAACTTTGTGGGAATAATTTGGGGGATGGCTCCTTCCTGTTCCAACATGACTGTGCACCAGTGCACAAAGCAAGGTCCGTAAAGACATGGATAAGCAAGTTTGGGGTGGAAGAACTTGACTGGCCTGCACAGAGTCCTGACCTCAACCCAATAGAATACCTTTGGAAAGAATTACAGTAAAGACTGTGAGCCAGACCTTCCAACATCAGTGCCTGACCTTACAAATGTGCTTCTGGAAGAATGGTCAAACATTTCCATAGACACACTCCTAAACCTTGTGCACAGCCTTCTTAGAAGAGTTGAAACTGTTATAGCTCCAAAGGGTGGACCAACTCAATATTGATCCTTATGGACCAAGACTGTGATGGCATTGAAGTTCATGTGCATGTAAAGGCAGGCGTCCCAATACTTTTGGCAATATAGTGTATATGGTCTAGGAGTCTTTTATAAATTCTGAAAGCTGTAAGGTAAAAATGAAAACCTCCAGATTTGTAGAGAAATTTGGTTATTTACATTTTGGCATACTTTTGATTTTCAACATTTTGCAAAAAGGCTCAATTAAAAATGTACAAATATTTGTTATTTATTAATTCAATGCAGGTTATGCTTTGACATTTAGAAGGAATTTAGCAGGAATTTTGTAAAATTTGCTGTGCTCGTGTCTGCTAATAATGATTTTAGTGTGTTTTTAGTGAAAATATTGTTTTGATAAACATTTATGCAAATATCGTGGGGGCTTAAAGATCAGCACCTTCTTTTTATGAGATTTCATAAAGTATATGGTTTGGGGAAAGGGGGGGGGCTATTACAAACTCTGAAAGCAGTTAGTGAAAAATAAAAACCTCTAGATATTTAGAGAAATGTTTGCATATGTTCAATTTTCACCATTTTGCAGAAATGCACAATTCAAAATTTACAAATATTTGGTATTTATGACCTCAATACAGGTTAAGCTTTTATATTTAATATGAATTTATCATGAATTTTGTAAAATTTGCTGTGTTCATATCTGCTAATAATGATTTTAGTGTATTTTAACTAAAAAGGTTCTTTGATAAACATTTACACAAGTCACGTGGGGCCTTAAAAATCAGTAGCACCTTCTTTTTATTCCACTGGTCATGTGCTTTTATTATGCAGTATTTATATAGCGCTAAAAGGTTTGCTTAGCGCTGTACATTATAGTGGGGGACAGTACATGAGACAATACAGTAACAAAACAAAACACGAGGGGTTCAAGGGCCCTGCTCTTTCGAACTTACAATCTAGGAGGGAGGGGATAGTGGTACAGGAGGAAGTGGCTGTGGGGGATGGTAGGAGGAGTGGAGGAGATCGACTGTTAGGTGAGGGTGGGGTATGCTTCCCTTAAGAGATGGGTTTTCAGGGTGCGCCTAAAGGTGAGGAGGGTAGGTGACAGTCTGATGGACAGTACTGTTGGGGTAAAGAGTTCCAGAGGATGGGGGAAGTCCTGGAGAAGTCCTGCAGTCAGGTGAGGGAGGTGGAGACCAGGGAGCTAGAAAGTAGGAGGTCTTGTGAGGAGCGAAGATTATGGGTAGGATGGTATTTGGGTATCAGGTTGGTGAGGTAGTTTGGGGCAGTGTTATGAATGGCTTTGTATGTCTGTGTTAGTAGTTTAAATTTAATGTGTTGGGCAATCGGGAGCCAGTGAAGGGAATGACAAAGGGGGGTGGCAGAAGCGGAGCGGTTGGTAATGAGTCTGGCCGCTGAGTGCAGGATAGACTGAAGCGGGGATAGTCTGTGATGAGGTAGGCCGGTGAGAAGGGAGTTGCAGTAGTCCAGACGTGAGATAATAAGGGAGTGAACAAGTTGTTTAGTAGTGTCTGGGGTTAGGAAAGTACGTATTTTGGAGATGTTGCGGAGGTGGAGCCTGCATGAGTTTGCCAGCGATTGGACACATGATACAGTTCCTCCATCCTATAAATATAATTTACCATTTTTATGCAGTCTTTTATTTTTGGTGCCTCCCGTTCCTGCCAGTATTTGTGTATCAATCCCTTTGCTGCGTTTATTAGGTGGAATATCATCAGGTTTTTATATTTTTCTACTTTAACCTTGGTTATATGGAATAAGCATATGCCCGGATCTTTCAAAATATTAATAACCAAAATCTCTTGTATTAAAGTGAATTATGTCCTCCCGATATACCTGTATTTTGGGGCATTCCCACCATATATGTGCCATTGTACCCTTAACCCCAACACATAGGCGATTTCTCTATGTATTGCATGTGTTCCATACTCGGCATATTATACCACCTGGTTAGTTATTTATAATTCATTTCCACCACCTTCATATCTATAGCTCTGTACAATAATGTAAATATTTTCTTTTTTTGTTGCTCATTAAATGATATTCCAAGTTCCCCTTCCCATTTTTCCATATACAATGGAGAGATAGACCCTGTTATTGCAGTAAGGGTTTTATAGATACGGGAGGTACCATGTTTCCATATCTTGCATGCACTAAACAATTGTTCAAATGGGTTTAAATTCTCCATTGTCCTTAATGGATTTGGGAGTGTTGCAACAAAATGACTTAATTGAAAATATCTCCATTTATCTAACATGAAAAACACCTCCTTCTTATTTTTAAGCTCCTGAAAGGGACATATTTCTCCTTTTTTCATTACATCTTTTAAGTTCTCATTCCCTTTCCTTATCCATATACCAGAAATATTTTCCTTCCCAGGTGGGAAATAATCTGTTCCCACTAGTAGTATTAAAATTGAATTAAATTCCCATCCCATTTGTTTGTGAATTCTCTCCCAAACCTAATTACATTTCGAGTATAAGTGCTCGTACCTTCAGCCAATTTATGATACTGCTGTGGCAACCAAGCAATCCTCTCTAACTGTGTCTCACTTAATGTATTTTCTATCTTAACCCAACTTTTCCCTATTGCATTATATGTCCAATCAAAAATACGTGACAACAAAACAGAACAAGTCCAGCATGTGTGACAGTGTGGCGATCTGTCACCCTGGATTCTCAACAAGGCAGGTTGAGGGGCTCCAGGGTAAAGGTTTGATATGGAGGAAAGTGGCTTTTCACTTTCCTCCTTTGTTTGTAAGGTCCATTTTGGGATCTGGAGCCTGGAGATTTCAAAGAGATCAGGGAGGGATGAAATCTCCAATCCTGGGACCAGGTTTTGGGAATGGCCAGGAGACTGATTGCACAGGTGTGTGCAGGCCTTTAGATAGAGTCAGGACCAGAGTTCTGGGCTCCACCCCGGCAGATAGGAGTCAGGTGGGCTTCACCTAGGAGAGGTGGAAGCCAAAAGCAGCAAGGGGCTGCTAGAGACTAGCTGTGTGCTAGAGGCCAGCGGTGTGCAGGTGCCATATTTTTGGGAAGAAGTCTGCAGGAGACAGACAGCAAGCTGAGTGTAAGCCAGGAGGCTGAACCGTTGTTTTGTGGATGATCGATACCCCTGTGTGGGAAACTTCTGTTTGAACTTTCATTTAAATAAAAGTGGGCTAAAAAGGCCCTTAAAAAGAAAACGAGTAGCTGTTTGCGTTTAAAAGCTCTACCACGTTGAAGCGAGTTCCCACATATGGTGGAGGATGCGGGCAGAATTGGAGATCCCAGCGATTAAAGTAAGTTCATCAGTTATATGAACTGTTTGGTGCATAAGTCTGCACTATCTGTGTGTGCAGGTGAGGAGAACCTGCTAAAGAAAAGGACTTTGCCTTAAAGAGACAGTGTTCCATGTTGTTGCTGAACTGTGTAAACACACTGCTGTGTGCATGACTGCAAAGATGGGGCGGTCAAAACAGAAAAAAGAGGCAATGTTTGCTGAAGCAACAGATAGAGCCCGGTGGCTAGGGGGTTATATACCGCATGCCCCAGCCAAGCCGGGAAATTTAGATGTGGGTGAGTCTGCTGTGGACTGGTGCAAGCGGCACCTGGCAGCATTGAACCAACCGAAAGAGGAAAGCAAGCCAACCTTCAGTGCAAGGAGAGAGCTGCAGGATGTCCATACCTGGGAGAGGGGTGTTGTCACCCATGGCAACGCTGCTGCAGTTAAACCAGTAGCTGTTTGTGAAAAATGTGAATGTGTCACGGCTTGAGAGTTGGTCCAGCAGAGAGAAGCCCATGCTATGTGCAAGGAGAGGGGCTGACCAGAGGCCAGGACCAAGAGTGAAGGCCCATAGCAACACAGAGGAGGCCAGTCGGGCTGTCTGTGTACAGGGGGCATGTCATACAAGGATCATGGCAAGTGGTATCAAGAGGAGCCAATACAGCGTGTTGGAAAGAGCCAGCAAAAATCTGCTTGGAGAGTTCAATCTCCCATGGCGACCGGAGAGAAAAAGTAGTGCCTGGAAGGAGGAGCTGCATTGGAGATGTGGCTCAGTATCCCAATAATCCCAGTATCCCATGGCCAGGAGACCGATTGCACAGGTGTGTGCAGGCCTTTAGATAGAGTCAGGACCAGAGTTCTGGGCTCCACCCCGGCAGATAGGAGTCAGGTGGGCTTCACCTAGGAAGGTGGAAGCCAAAAAGCAGCAAGGGGCTGCTAGAGACTAGCTGTGTGCTAGAGGCCAGCGGTGTGCAAGTGCCATATTTTTGGGAAGAAGTCTGCAGGAGACAGACAGCAAGCTGAGTGTAAGCCAGGAGGCTGAACCGTTGTTTTGTGGATGATCGATACCCCTGTGTGGGAAACTTCTGTTTGAACTTTCATTTA